TCCATCAGATCCTGAGCCTTGACCAGCACCAATTCCTACTCCTGAGCCTGATCCTCCAGCAGGTGCTGGTTGCGCAGAGCTAGGGGCAGCAGTGCTTGGTCTAGCGGTACTTGGGGCGGCAGAACTAGGGGCGGGAGAGCCAGGCGCGCTACCTCCTTGTCCTCCTCCTACTCCTACACCTACTCCTACTCCTACTCCTACTCCTACTCCTCCGGAGTTCGACCCACTAGATGGTTTTGCAGTGGTTTGGCCACCTAATCCATTACCTAATCCACTGATCTTAGAACCAATTTGTCCTACTCCTTTACCTATTTCTCCTAGTCCTGAACTTATTCCGTTTCCTATTCCTTTACCTACTGCTCCAATTCCTTGACCTATTGCTCCTATTCCTTTTCCAAGTACTCCTAATCCAGCACCTACTCCTGCTCCTATTCCGCTACCTATTCCAGCTCCTTGTCCGGCTCCAGCTCCTGGCTGAGTTCCTGGACCTGTAACTATTCCTGAGCCTACTCCTGAACCTAATCCTGCGCCTACTCCTGAGCCTACTCCGGGAGCTCCTCCCCCATTGTTTCCTAATCCTACTCCTGTGGCTACTCCTACGGATGCTCCTGCGCTTACTCCTGCGCCTACTCCAACGTTTGCTCCTGCTCCTACACCAACTGCTGCTCCTACTCCGGCACCTTTTCCTGCTCCGGCACCTGCTCCTGCACCTGCTCCTGGGCTTGGTTGTTGAGCTGGTTGTTGAGCTGGTTGTTGTGCTGGTTGTTGTGCTGGTTGTTGAGCTGGTTGTTGAGCGGGATTACTTTGCTTGTTTCCAAGAAGACCTCCTAATCCTAGACCTAATCCAACACCAACTCCTAGACCTAATCCATTTTGTCCACTTTTTCCACGTGATCCTTGATTATGTCCTGAGCCTATCTATTATGTAATAATTATAACGGTTATAATTTCTTGTTATAGACGATTTCTCCCTCTCTCTCTCTCTCTCTCTCTCAATAAAGCATTCAATAATAGTTTCCTTTTAATAATTTATACTTACCGAGTAGGCTGTTGTTGAAGCTACAGTGAATAGTAGAAAGAGCGCTAAGACCTTCATGGCTGCTTGTGTTCTATTCCACTTGTGACTATTCAGACTGAATACGAGATATTTATACAACTTCTTTGAATAGAATTCAATATATTATCCTACCTGTGACAAATGGTAATGATGACATCGAACCATATGTTATACCAATAACTACAATATCCGCATGAAGTGTAAATATCGTTTTATTTGTCCTACCAGAAATAATAGTTTTTTCCGCATTCTTATCTGTAACATTTAATAAAATTTTTTTGCTTTCATTACTTTTTGGCATACATATATATATTAATTTTAATACAATTATTGCGTGCTTGCTGTAGTTTTTATTGAATAAAATTTTTCAATTAAAAATATTATTATTTGTAGCAATTTTTGTACTTCTATTTTATATATGAGCTCTTAATAGAAAAAATAAAGTATCTGTTTAACTAACACATCATTACGATTGCATCAAGAAGCATTTTTCATAGCACAATATCATGTCAGTCTGAGACATGACATGAATGATAGTTTCTTGCAAATATGATTTCGTAATAATTGCAAAACAAGTCTTTTCGAAAAGTCAATTGTCCATTAATCGATTACGTGTAAAAATTTATCTTCCTATTGTTTGAACGAATATGTCTTCATTTGTGAAAAAAGTATATATACTTCGATCGGTGTAGTATTGCAGGATTAGAATACGAGACTAGCAATCATGCAGATTACCATAATAGTATTACTTGCCACTGTGGCTTGTTCCTCAGCACAATTTGGTGCTGGGTTCGGTTTTGGAAAGAGCCTGAACTTTTCTTTATTTCCCCTTGGGGTAAGTTTATATTATAATATAATATAAACCTTATAAAAAAAATAAGTTACTCCTTTAAAAAACAAATTTATTTAACTTGCATCTAATATCATATTACATTATTTCAGTTTGATGTAAGTAAAAATGCTGGCTTTGACATTGGTTTTGGTCCTGATGGTAATCGAGTTAGACGGCAGCTTCCACAAGAAGGTCAGAATCGAGCTGGATTTCAAGCAGGAATAGGAGCAGGAGGAGGATTTCACTTTAATGTAGGAGCTCGACCAAATTCACAACCAGGCAGATTTGGACTAGGTAGACTTAGACCAGATGAAGCTAGACCAGATAAACCAGGGCAAGACAGACCTGGACAAAACAGACCTGGACAAAACAGACCTGAACAAAACAGACCTGGACAAAACAGACCTGAACAAGACAGACCTGGACAAGACAGACCTGGACAAGATAGACCTGGACAAGGCAGACCGGGACAAATTGGATTTGGACTAGGCAGACCAGGACAAATTGGATTTGGACTAGGCAGACCAGGACAAAGTGGATTTGGACTAGGCAGGCCAGGACAAAGTGGATTTGATCTAGGCAGACCTCAACAAGTTGGACTTGGATTAATTGGAAGTTTTGGATTTGGAGGAGGCAGATTTGGACCATTTGGACCTAGACCATCCAAACCAGAAGACAACAATCGACCTTCTCAGAAACCTAACGATCGTCCTGACGGTCCTAACGATCGTCCTCATGGTCCTAACGATCGTCCTCATGGTCCTCATGATCGTCCTCACCCCGGTCCTCATCATAGACCTCACCATGGTCCTCACCACGGAAATCATGAATGCAAAACTACTTCTACTAAAGCACCTGATACGACTGGAACACATACTACTGCAGCCACTGCAACGACATCTGGTACTACTAGTACCCAGTCAACCACAGCTTCTACCCAAGCACACACTCAAGCAACTAACGCAAATTCTGCATCTACTACTGAGTCTACCACCGAATATAACGATGATTC